GAATGCCAAACAGGTTCCATGTTATGTGAAAACTCTGAATAAACATGGGGAGCTGCTTGGAGCCCAGGGTTGAGGGTAGCAAGGCGGTATCTGGGTTCCATTACAAAGAATGCGGTGCTTGACTGGCCATGTCTGCCATGGCAATACCCACTGGACATGTCTGGAATGGGGAATTTGGGGGAACAGGCTGTGTACCAGCCACCCGTTCAGCTTAGAGAGGGACAAGGCATTTGTTCCAATCTTTGCATTGGGTGGTTATTCTCTCTGGCCAAGTGGCTGAGGAGGCAGTCTGAAGGCCACAAAGCTGCAAGTGGCCTCACCAGGCCCCAGATGGAACAGCATAAGCCCCCAGCTAGAGGAAGCTTGAAAGGGCAGCCCACGCAGAGCCCCAGAGGGTCTGCACATTGCAGCTCCTTCTCCTCTGGAGTCAGTTTCATCCAGGCAAATATAGTTGGCTGGCTGTGAAAATTAGTTAGATGCAACTTGGGCGTAAAAACACTGTTCATTGGTATTTACACAGAAATAACCCTAATCCGTGGATAAACTCTCAATAATTTCCAGTCCAAACCAAGAAGGTTCATCTTCAGTGTGCTATTGAGAAATGAAAATAGGGTAAAAGGACAGTCTTACTTTAATTAAGTTCTGGAATGAGGGGACACTGCTTTGAAAAGCACTGTCCCAGCAGAAGACACAGGGTGTGTGTGTAAGGATGTTTCTAGAAAATACCAAAGGCACCAAACATAACTCCAACTTGGCCTTCTGTTTCTCCTTGGTGCCACTCCGTACCACAGGCAGGGAAGCTACTTCGTCCAGCTGACTTTGGGAATGTCATAGTGCTCCGTGAGTGTGTCTAGGTGTCTGTTGAAGTCCTGGGGATGCCAAGGAGAAAGCCAATGTCAGCAAAGCGCCAAGCAGGGTACTAGGGACGTGTGGCACCATTCACCCTCACTTCTCCATAACCTGTCTCCCCTCAGTGAGCCCCCTCTGCGCAAAGCCACCCTGCCAGGCCTTACAGCCACCAGAACCCCAGCTTCTCCCTTTAATGACCCCAGGGAGGTTGGGTAAACACCCACCCCTACTGACACTCCAATGGCTTCTCTGCCAGGCTCCAAGCCTCCAGACCTAGCAAGGACCTACATGGCTGAGCCTCTCCAACTGGGCATGTGACTTACCTCTACCCTTTGCTTGTGGGTCTTGGATGCTTTCTTCAGGATCCTTTCCATTTGCTGAAGAGAAGAGAGAAAGGCATGTGAGTCACATGTTCAACACAGCCCAGGCCATTACAGGATGGGAGATGGGAGTCCCAGACAGCCTGGCTCTCACACCTAGAACAGCTGGAGGTCTCAGGTCCCTCAAGTCCACTCAGGCTCGTGTGACAGGGACACTTGGCTACAACATATTCCACCAGAAACCCAGGTCAGCTGCCCTTTGGTCTGAGTGGCAGGAAATGTACTAGCACCGACTTGGGTAGACTCTGCTGGGAACTATACAAGTTCCCAGTGCTTCTAGCTTCCTTGGGCAACTGACAGGATCTCTCTTTTGCAGAAAAAGAAGTCCCTGATGGGGTTGGAGGAAGGATGACAAATGAAGAAAGGACCTGACACAAAGTAGGTGCCTCAGTGACAGTATCCATCCTGACGCTCACAGTGCCAGGAAGGCTACAAGAGTCAATTATCTTCACGAGCGATTCTGGAATACGCCTCCAGCACCAACATGACTGCCTCCACCCCTCATTCCCAATACCTGATCGTAAGAGTTAAGTGCGTGGGATGCAGAGCCAGGCAGACCTGAGGCTGCACCTGGCTCTATACCTACTAGCTGGCTGGCTATTGCTGACTCACTTTGGTGGCCCTCCGCACCCCTGTAAGTCCAAGAACTGCATTTTCTGGTATTCGTGTCCTTGTACAGTCATCTGCCACAATGACTCTGGGCTGGCCCAGTGACTCAGTTCACTTAACAGAATGTAGTGTCAGTGCTGGCCTGAAGCCTTAAGAAGACCCAGCACCTTTTGCTTTGTGCCCTTGGAAGCCAGCCATCATATAGAAGTCTGATGACCTTACTACACAGAAAGGACCGGGAGGATGAAATGACATGTGGGGAGAGAGGCCACAGAAGGAGCACTAAGGCAGTGGACATGTGATGGCAAAGCCATCTTGGATGTTCCAGCCCAGTTGGGCCTCCAGCCCCAGCTGCCATGGGACTGCTCCAGACTCCAAGCAAGGTCAGCAGAACCACTCAGCTGAGCCCGGTCAAACCGCAGACACATGCAATAATACTGTCAGCTACCACCTGGCTGCTCCTCCCTGCTCCTCTTCTCCTTTGCTGCCTCATCTCTCTCTGCCCTGTCAGCTCCCACCTGGCTGATTCTCCCCCTGAAGTGTCTACTCTGTCCATTCCTGACTCTCTTTATGCTGCTATGAGCCCACATGAGGCTAGTGTCTCCTAAAAAGGGGCCAAACTGACTTGACCAGCTGTCGCCAATGCCAGGCCCTTGGTAGGGCTCTGCCTTCCCTCTCCCTACTCCATGCATCAAGTTCAAAGGGTGTCGTAGGTGCTGTCATCATCTCCACATGGCATATACAGAAAATTAAGACCAGAGTGCACAGTGGGTGATGGGCCTAGAGATCCCAAGCCTTGACCCTTTCCACCAGGCCAGCACCCCACTCCAAAGGCCCTGCACCCAAGAGCCAGCAGCTGTCCAGCCTTCATGCTATACTCAATTGAACACCTTCCACAAGGGAATCTGCACTGACCAACTGTACCTAGCTTTGCCCACACCTCCCTTCTCTCTCATCTGCCTCATCTCTCTGTCTTGTGGGTCAAACAAACCCTGCAACAGTACTTCCGGTTTTAAATGTTAATAACAAAAACTTGCCCTTGACCTTCTACCACTTCCAGCTGCAGGCCCATTTTTCTGTTTCCCTTGACAGTAAAACTCCCAAGAGTCATTTTTATTCCTTGTCTCCACCTCTGCCTCTCCCCACCCTCTCTTGGATCTACTCTAAGATCCGTCTTTCTTTTTAAATTATTTTAAATTATGGTTGACATACACTGTTATATTTAATCAGCCTTTCTTCCTCCTCATTTCAAATGCCAACAATGGGCTCTGAATGCTCACTCCAAGAGACCTCTTGGCAGGATATGACACGGCTGATCACTTCCTTTTCCTCTAAACACTTTCTCCACTTGGCTCCTAAGGACACACACTCTCTCCTGGTATTGTTCCTTCCCGTGATACTTTGCAGTTTCTTTTCTGACACCATCTAAGCACCAGAAATCAGACCTTAGACCTCTTCTCTGTCACTGTACCTCTTCAAAGGAGATCATCCAGTCCCATAGCAATTCCCAAATGTTTATCTGGGGCCCAGACCTCTCCACTAAACTGCAGATTCAGAAGTCAAACTGTCCACGAGAATTCTCCACTTGTATTTCTAACAGGCACCTCAAACTTTACTTCTCTAAAACCAAGGTCTTGATCCCCTCCTTTAAAAACCTGCTTTACCTGCAGTCCTTCCTCTTTCAGTAGGCACCTACTGAATGAAGGCACCTTCATTCACTCAGCTTCTCCTGCCAAAATTCCTGGTCATACTTGATTCTTCTTTCCCAGTCCACACCCAATCCATCACCTGATCCCGCTATTCTTCCTTCAAAATCTGTCCCAAACTCGGTACCTTCCATCTCTTCCACTATTAGTGCTTGACTCTGAGCAGCCATTATTAGTCACCTTGTAGGCCGCACTGGCCTCTCCCCGACCTCACGCTTGCTCCAGGAGTAACACTCCATCCCTGCCTCTTAGGGAAGGGACTATGTGCATTCACTTGTTAAATCCTCACCACAAACTTATGAAGTAGGGACTTCAGCCTTACTTTACTGATGAAGAAACTGAGGTGTGGGAGGTTAGCCAACTCGCCCAGAGTTACACCACCAACAAGCAATAGAGACAGAGTAGAACCCAAGTCTGTCTTACCAAAGCCAGTGCATCTCACTTTTGTTTTGTTTTGTTTTGTACAACTGAATTAGGCCTGAGAGCAATGAGTAAACTTTTCCCTAATGTCACTTGAGAAAATCACCCTGTCCTGGGTTAGAGTTTCTCAGCCTGGGCTCTACTGACATTTTGGATCAGATCATTCTTTTCTGTAGGGGGCGGTAATTCGATCATTATAGGATGTTGAGCAGCGTCCTGACCCTACACTCACTAGAAGCCAGCAGCACCCAGCCTGAGTTATGACAAAGAAAAATGTCTCCCAATATTGCCAAATGACTTCTTGGGGATGGAAGTAGGGGGAAAAAACAGCTTCCAGTTGAGAACCACTGACCTAGACTGGTTACCCTCCCACCCCCACAGCATAAGCTTATCTATCTAACGCTGACCACTCCTATCCCCACTGCACACAATTATTGTTTAATATCGAGAGAAATAATTTAATAGAGCCTTAAAAAACATGTTTGAATGTGCCAACAAAGTCGTCATGGAAACAGACTTGGTGGTGACTTACAGCAGGGAGCACAGCCATTTAGTAGCAACAGCTAACACCAACTGAGCATTGATTTTATACCAGACCTAGTGACAAATGCTTCACCTGCGTTACAAAGTTCCCATCCCGCTTAGGAAAAAGTACTATCCTGACCCCTACAGATGAAGAAACTGAGGTACGGAAAGAAGATAAGTTACTGGCCTAGTGTCACAGGGCAAATAAGTGACAAAGCTGGAATCCAAACCCGACTCTCGGCTCTGGCTCCTTTCAACGCCATCTCTAACTCTGTCATCTACTCAGGCCTGAAGGGCTTCCTGTCATCGGAACTCTCCCAGCTGTGGGCTCTTCCTCTCTCACTCATCATCTTCTCCCCGGAATTAAGGTCTTCTCTGACCGCTCGCCCTCCTCCGAGCATCCTGGAACAGTACCGCTTTCGAGTCTCCGGGCCCTTCCTAAGCACTCACCCGCTGGAGACCCAAGCCCGCTGCTCGCGGCATCCCCAGCCTCCCCACCCGCCTCACCCGCTTCTCCTGCATCTTCTCGAAGGCTGCCTGGGCCGGGGTCCGCTTGTCCAGGCCGCGCCGCTTCTCCTCTTCGTTCTTTTTGCTCGTTCCCATCGCTTCCAGGAGTTTCGCCTTGTCTTTGTCCTTCTTTTTCTTCTTCCTGGGAGAGGAGACGGTAGGAGATGGGGTGAGGGCGAGTCAGAGAACAAGAGCCCGGGGTCTCGGAAGGAGGCTTAAGGGGACAGAAGATGGGGCCTCGCGGGCTTCTGGGACTCACCGCTTGGTAACGCCGAGCTCTGCGACGCCTTTCAGCTTCAAGGGCCCCTTTTGGACCTGCTCGTAGGCCGCCATGGCGCCTGTCAGCAGTTAGTGCCTAAACTGCCACACTTCCTGTTTGAGAACACTACTTCCGGCAGAACTCCCGCCTCACTTAGTCTTGAGTGGCGGTGCGAAGCAGTGCACATGCGTCCTTGGCATCTGGACTCGGGCCGCTTTTTCGGGTTGCGGGAGGGGCCTGGAAAGTCAGGCGCTACGCCTCCTTTGCAAGCCGTCTCCTGCCACACTTCCGGCTTTGGCGCCCACTTCCGGGTTCCCCGACCTTGGGATCCCGTAGACAAGGGAAAACAATTTGACAGGCGCCTTTTCTTAAAACTCAGCGTCTTTTTTAGTGTTTTACGTGCCTTTGGATGTTCTTTTCTCTTTTACCGCCATATTTTGGACGTTCAATGGATAGCATGCATTTTAATTTGTACTGTTGACCAAATTGTGCCACGGGACTTGGGGGGAGAAGGAGGATAGGCGGGAGAAAAAGCAAGCATCCCCCTAATCTGAACGACACTGGATAAAGGAGGGCTCGGTGCCTGCATTTCCCAGTTCTACCTGCAGGGGGCAGCAAGCGACTGCCCAATTCTCCAGCCATAGGCTCACCCTTTGGCATTCCAGAATTGGATGAGAGTGCCAAAAGAGAACCATAGGGCCTGACAGCCTGTACCAGCTTCCTCGTGGGGCCGTGCATGACAGAATCAGCTCTTCAGAGAGGGACAGGACAGACTCAGCTGGAGACAGCTGTTCTTCCCAGCCAACCCAGCAGCTGTGGAGCTTGTCTCTGGCTCTTCCAAGACTGTGTGCCTTGGAGCAAGTGGATTGATGTCTCTGAGCTTGCCTCATAAAATGGGAATAATGATAACAACAGCTAATACTTTATATGAATTTATACGGGTCCTCTCATTTGTTCTCACAGCCACCTTATTCCATAAACCAGCCTGACTTTAAATATAGGGAAACTGAGGCACAAACTGTTATCTAACCTATG